AGTTTCACAAAGTTCAACTTTTTCTAAATCGTGAGAAAGGGAAGGGAGGGAGGTAATAGGAAGAAAAGAAATTTCTACACAACAATGTGAGAATTTCTACTGTATTGCAACAAAAAAGGGGCAGCTGGCCTAAACTATTTTTAAACAATTTAACGGCAAATCTTTTAGAAAAATATTAACCGGGAGGTATGAAAATGTTGGTCCTGGTCACAATTGTATTCTCAACTTACGGCTAGGACAATCATTTTGTTGATTTGTAAATTTGTTGTTGAATTACGTATCTAAAGCATCTTGATATCAGGTAAGCTATTCCTGACCACTGAACCCACCCACCCCCACCCCCAATTTAAGGTGCAAGTCTATATGAAATTCTAGAAAAGAGGGGAGCAAAAATACATCTCAGCTCCCACACTTCCCCCTCTCATTACATATATATATATATATATATATATATATATATATATATATATATATATATATATATATATATATATATATATATATATATATATATATATATATATATATATATTATACCTTTACTGTTATTACTCCGTATAAAATTAATACCATAAAACTGTCTATTTCCCTGAGAAGATACTATTTCACTCATCTGAGGACTACTCCCTGAAAAATCGGAGCTACTTCCTGGGACTACTCATGAATATTTATTAATAATTTTAACCAATTAAAATTAACAGTGGGCGGAGCGTTCAAGGAATCTCGAGTCTGAGACGTAATGTTATTAGCAACGTAACTATGACGTCAAAACATTTCGACATGCGATGTCAAAATCATACTGGAATTCTATAGCAAAATGAAGACAAACGTAATCCTTCGAAATGTCAGTGAAATTATTTTATATTTTTTAAGGATTTTTTTCCCTCGGTATAGTCATCTTTCAATATTTTGAATCACATGCATTTCTGATTATTTGAATGAGTCTCTAGTTTAATTAATCTCCTATGATTGTTTCGGTATAATAAGACAGTTATGGAATGGGTACTCGGGAAATATCAAATTTATGGTTCCCCTCGGCAGGAAACTATTTCCTCCCTCGGGGAACCATAAATTTGCTATTTCCCTCATACCCATTCCATAACTGTATAATATATATAGAGGATATTCAATGTTTTGTAGATGAATATGGAATTTATTTCACGAGTGGGACAGGATTTTTTTTATATTTTCACGAGTGCGAAGCACTCATGCGGGGAAAACTACATTGGACAGACCGGTAACAAACTAGCTGACCGCGTAAGAGTCCATAAACAACAAATACGGAACCCTTCTGTCAGGAATACGCCATGCAGTGAACATTTTGATTCATGTGCGAATGGAAACTTTTTAATATTTCCATTTTATAAAGTTCTAGAAAATAATGAACAATTACGGAGAGCCAAGGAAGATTACTTTGTAAAATTATTTAAACCTAAATTAAATGTAAATTGAACATTATAGCTTAAAATTAGCAGTCTATTTCATCACAATGTACATATGTTCAATTCTGTACTTTTGGCGCCCTAATGACATTTACCTGCGCCAATATATAATGCTGCCTTTATGACGTCACAATAACGACGTCATAACAACCAAGTTGTATTGTTTTTATAAACTTTGTTACACTCTGAAGAGCCTCACGGCGAAAGCGCTTTGTGTAATAATTAAATGTGAACTTGTTTGTTTATCTTGGATTTTATTTTAATATATATATATATATATATATATATATATATATATATATATATATATATAATATATATATATATATATATATATATATATATATATATATATATATATATATATATATATATATATATATATATATATATATATATATATATATATATATATATATATATATATATTATCAGTGTCAATATGTCATTAGATTATTTGAGCTGAACTTACTATTAAAATCTTTTTTCCTACCTGTTATTGTATCATGCAGTCTTTCCCCTTCAAATACAACTCAAAATTTATACTCAAAATTAGCCTATTAATAAAAAGACCTATCAAAACTGTTATCAGAAATTGTATTAACTTCAAATCTCCCTTTTCTGAGATTAACTGAATTGGGAGCAGTAGACTGAGTTAGAAGCGATTTTCTAATAAAGAAAATGGATGTTATGTGATTTCAGTTTAATCGTCCGAAAGTTGAGATATAGTAAGTAAGTACTTGTTGGGAATGGCTGTGACCTTTGATTTTAAATACATTGTACATAGACAAAAATTCGAAGAAATGTAGTTGTACTAAAAAAAAATTCAAGATGGCGACTGTGACGAACCTTGTTATTATAGCATGGATTTCTTTTTCATCAATAAAGAGAAATGTTTCAAACGTTAAGTCTAGCTATATAGATGCCTGGTTCGATTATTTCTGGAGTGTTTAAGTGTGTAATACAACCCTGATATCTTGTCATCGAATGCAAGGTGATGTAGTTTAAGTCGTCCTCTAAATTTGCTAAACACGGCATCTAAGTGTTTTCTATTATTGTCTCAGCCTCATCGTTTTCGAAGAAGCCATCGTATTTCTGTAAATTGGATAGATGGGCTGTAATATTGGCACTTAATATTTGGTTGTTTTTTGGTTGTTGTTTTTTTTTTTTTTTTTTTTTTTTTTTTTTTTTTGTTTTTTGTTTTTTTTTGGTTTTGTTTTGTTTTGTTTTTGTTTTGTTTTTTTTCATTTTTTGTGTTTTTGTTTTTTGTTTAACGTCCCTTCGAGAATTTTTCACTCATACTGAGAAGCCACCACTTTCCGGTGGAGGGGCTGCAAATGTACTCTGCACTTATTGTCTTTGAGCAGTGAGGGATCTCTTTCGTGCCAGCACCTACTTCAGCACGGGGCCTCAGTTTATACGATCTCATCCGAAGGCCCGGTTTTCACGTTCTGCAGTGGGATTTGAACCCGCAACGTAAGGATCAACTCCTTACTTCGCGACTCAAGAGCAAACGCTCTAACAACTGCACCAAGCAGTCGACTGGCAATTAATAGAATATAGAGATTTTTTGAAGACTGAGTCTATAGTTTACGTATATATACCAGCTTCCAAAAGACTTCAAAGAAGATGGGTGAACATGACGAGCGAAAAGCCTATAGTGTGACAAACATGAAGGTGAAAAATTAAATCTCAATTATATCAAAATTTTCTTGGATATTTCATCTAACATTAAAATATACTTTATGTAAAATCTCTACAATTTGCAAAAGTCTCACAAAGGTTGAAATTATTTGCTTATGAAATATTGTACACACACTAAAGAGGGCAAAAAGAGTCATTTTCTCATACTATAACACCATTTTTCGATATGAGTGGGTCTTCGCTCCATTTTTTTGAAAGTTAATCCTCGAAGTTTGCATAAAAATATACATTTTTTGGTTTCCTAAAATATGGAGCAAAGACCCACTATACCTTAAAAATATACTTTTATGACATATCATTCGCATCTTTTCGAGAAATACTTGAAGTCCATTAAGTCAGGGGTCATATCAAAAACATGATTTAAATGCCACTATTCATCAGATCTTAAGTAGGCTAGTGGTTAGCGAGCTAGTCTCGAAAGAAATTGATACTCAGGATTAATTTTTATTGCTAGGGTTCGAACCCCCATGAATACCACATTATTTTTTTTAATAAAAGAATAAATTTTCCGAGAAAATTTTCCTCAGAAAAGTTTTGTTTATCACATTTTCATACATTTCAATAACGAGAACTTTACTCTAAATACTGAATTCACAAACTGAACATGATTTTTATATATTTGAAGTTATAGGCTTTCTGCACGCTATGTTCGCCCATCTCCTTAGACTTAATGTAGACATATTCTTGGCACCGAGGGCTATTGAGCAGTGAATGTTCTTTATCGTGCCAACACCTACCGTGAAATGGGATTTGTTTTAAGGTCTCTTCCGAAAACCTCGTGACTTCTAATGCCGGGCGCTTGGTGAAGACAGAGTTACTACCTATGTTTACGTCTTAGGTTTGACGCAGCGCGATGAGAATCGAACCCGGGCCTCTCAATCACGAAGCACTACAGTACCTTCCAACGTGAAACCATTTGCAAATATATCATACATTTACAAACAAGATCTTTAAATTACAATTTACCTATGGGCCTACTTTATTTGTCCGAAATCGGCGTACACAAGAAAATTTCTTAACGTAATTGACTTTAATGTTTATGACAATAAATTTATACAAATTTTCATTTCATAACATTGATATGATAAATGCTTTTTAATACAGTATTTCTTTACTTCTGCGATATGAACTGTTGAAAAATATGGGCTAAGGGTACTGTAAATCACAAATTTTCGCGAGATCGGTATTTGGTATTTCTTGGGGAGACCGAAATTTCACGAATTCAGCTGGTTACTACTTTATATAATCTATACTAATTTACATCATATTTGTCCAACAAGGACGCGATTTTCTGTTCACACCGTCAGTTTGTGACACAAGTTTTCTGAGAGTTTCTTGATACTTTTATGTTTCAAAATACCTCATTATGATATATTTAAAAAGAATTTTGGAACGGTAAATATATACCTTTTTTTTTCTTTGAAATAAATCATTCTATTTTTGTGTATCAAACTCTTAAAAATGTTTTTGTTTTAGACAAGAAAATTAAGATTGGCATAACTGAACTGAATTTGGACGTTTAACAACTTGATATAACTTTCCGTCATATCTCTAAAACAGCTAGACGATTTTCTCGCCACTCGTTCCAAACTGGTGAGGTGAACCTTCCCCGGTTTAATGAAGCAACAAAGATTATCAAAGGTTTAACAAAATAATTCCTTTTTATGAGAAAGCCAATAAGATGTTACAACATACATATAGCAACCTTTATTCAATTATTTATAGGCTGCTTAATTCTTTACTATTAGTTTACATTCACACAAAATGTTACAAAAGTACTCTATAACAGTAAATAAACACAATATATACAATATAAAGGTGCGTTTCAGCGTTTCTATTATTTGATGACCAAAACTAATAACTGCTCTCAATTTTCGACATTTTGAGTGTTTCACACGCACTACTGGGATCCGTACTTTTAGTAATCCCAGTTTTTTCCTTAAATATCTTTTTGTACATAAGAATTGTCCTCTTATTGCAAACAAAACCCAGGAATATGAAGACGCCCTGTAATGTGTTCAGGATGGAAATAATGTACGTGAAATAACTTGGCGGTAAAAGACCGTCTAAAATCTGCAAAAGCCAGACAATTCCTGTTACAGGAAATAAGCGTACACATATTAAAAAATCGTTCCTTTCGGGTTTATTGTTAGAAACTGTTGGAGAAAGTTTAATTGCATGAATTGTCTGTGAGAAGAAAAAGACATTACTGATGCAGAGAAAACCAACCGGGACTAGAAAAGTAAAAATAACGGACATTTTTCCATCCATGAAACAATTTTCCTTTCCATAACCAACATTCCCCCGAATTGAAAACATGGTAATAATATACCCTAAGACAGTTAAAAGTGGCAAGAGAAAGATATAAATACAATACTTTATAAGCAGTAAATTTTCATTGTAGATTTGCAGAGGTATTCTGGCGTGAAAAACCCGATACATATGAAAACAACAGATGTTCATACTTGTAAAAGACGAGAGCCAGAAGTAATGAAGAAGAATACCAACAACAACACATTTTGTGTTGTTTTTGTTTTCCCCGTAACTCGCCAGAGATACAATATTTATGATAAAGATAGTAGAAACAAGAACCATTATTGTTTTCCCTGGAAGTGATCTTAGTTCGCTGAAGAAGCAGTATGTGAGAAAAGTGATCAACAGACATACACACGATAATATAGAAGTTACAACGTAAAGTGTACGTAAAATTCTACTCCCCCTGTTGAAATTGGACATTAAGTCATCAACACATACTCTGATAGTTCCATTCTCCAAAACATCAGCATTTACAGCAGGTAGAGTAATATCGTAACTCTTCAAAAACATCACGTTTTGAATGCTATCAAATTCATACTCCTCTAATTTGAATTCCACTTGTTTGCATATCAGTACGTTAGTGATATGTACGGCACGATATTGTAATATATGATTCCATGATGAACCATAACTCGATTGTGAACATCGATCTTCTTCTGGTTCTAGTTCCGTTACGTTGCTGTTATTCTTTCCTAACGAAAAATATTTGTTCTTGAAATCAAACAAAATAAAGGTATCATTGCATATATATTCTAAATTAGTTTCAGTAAATCGTAATAGAAACTTTTCCGTTTTCAATCGATCAACAGATTCATTGATGAATATTGTAGAGTGAATCCACCCATGGAATTTTCCATAGTCCTTCTGAACATATTCCATACGGAAGATATTAAAAAAAAGATTTTGCGTTAGCTTTACGGTTTTCTTAATTTTGAATGGTATCAAATCCGTGATTAAATCTTGAATATTTTCCTCGGATATCTTGTACTTAGAAAATCCCTTGAAAGTTATATCCAAATTATATCGAAGATTTTTGGTAACCGAAAACAGCGGGATGCAGCTTTCTCCACGAATTAAATATTTTCCGGGAAAACATGTTATATTCCTGCAGATTCCCTGAAAAAAAAATTGTGTGTTAAGTTCAGTTATTCATATCATTATGACATTGGGTTTTCCCCATAAGAAGTAAAAAATAAATAAAAACAGATAACTTTGATTGCCTATCAAGACACCATCCCATCCTAAATATTTGCATATTGTATAACATTCTTCGCAGAAAGAATTCGATTATGAAATGACTTACAAGGAATGGGTCGTAAATTTGGTCATTTGAGCACATCCGACCAAGCAGCGCCTCAAAATCCATGTCTTTATAATCACCACTGACGGAAAACAAACTGCGTAGCAAGGGATACCAAACAAGGGAATTTGATACCAAATTCTCTTCTTCTGCTTTAGTTCCACCCCCTACCCCGCGATTCACAGACAATCCGATGCCATTGCATAATGCACAATAGAGATTCTTGTAGGGGGCATAAAAGTACACCTTTGGAAAAAAATCGCAAACATTTCCATAACCAGAGGTAACTGCACACTTATCAATTGTTATCTCCACGGCTCTATAAGGGTTGCACATAGCACAATAAACGTTTTTATATATACCCCCTCCAAACTGATCAGGCGCTACCCAATCATGTTTCCGTCTGTATGGAAGATCCTCGCATGCCCACCTTACATCTGAGTCTATAATTGGCCAGTGTCCCGTTTTGTTGCATTTCTCTATTACATCAGGCGTGAGTTTGTCACATTTTAGACTGTCTGTTGCTGGATAAAGCGTCAAATTGCAATCAGCTTCTCGTAAAGATTTGAAAAAATTACTATAAAGCAAGAAGTTTGTGTGTTCAATATATGAAAAACAGTGTGACTTCATCGTCCATGGTTTGTATTTTTTTTCTCTTAGAGAAACACTACACAGTAAACAGTACATATTTAGATATGGAATGCCTGTCGATAAATCCGTGACTGGGTGAATAGAAAATACGTCCCCGGGTGGTTTCCTACACCTCTGACCTATAAATTCAGGAAAACGATCTAGACCATAACACCCATTTGTCACTAAACTTTCGTTAAATGTTTTATTTGGTTCAGATTTTGAGAATATTTTTTCTTTTAGGCAAGTTGTAGGATACATTAAAAACAGATCTTTACAGCATGCAGTTCTTTCTTCAAAGAAAATGCATTTTGCATCACATGAGCAGTTAGAACGGAAATTGAACTTTGCTGGAATTCCATATTCCCCACACATTCCCGATTCAAAGTCCATTGAATACGACTTATGCACAAGATTTGTTAAATCACTATAATTGTGTTTCATCAAAACTAGATCACGTGATTGATTAATCATCTTTATTTCTCCGGACTGTTCAAAAACATTTTGTTTAATAAAAAGGAAATATTCGTCTGAAAATTCCTGCACATCAACGTAAAAGTAAAATATAGGTACAGAGGATTCGTTACGAAATAAAAGCTCAGTATGCATGTCCAAGCTTACATCGACGAAGGGAAAGTTTGATAAATTTGGCCGGTTACACAAATAGCAAAATAAGTTCTTATATGGCAATGTTCCAGAGTTGTCACGATAATATAAACATGCGTTATTTACTGTAAGGTTAAATGTATCCCACATTCCACTTACATTGCACCGAGATATTGTGTTGATAGCAGTGAATGTTGGATTACACATTTTACAAAACATATTTTTGAACAATGTATCATTATTAAAATAATCGGCATCACATGCATATTCAACAATCTGGATGTAACGTTTCCATGTCCCTGTTTTATTACAAGAATTAAAAAAATGGCCGTTTTCTTTGTAACAATTGTAAGAGAGATTTTCATTTGGAGGATATGACTGTAACACACAATTACGCGTGATAGCATTTTTGATGACGTCATCAAAGGTTGAAATAAAATTGATATCCAGAAATTGATCACAAACTATATCAATAGGCCAGGTAAAAAAATTAAAGTCATCGTTGCAAATCGCACAAAACCGATTGTAGTACGTTCGAGAAGTATTGTAACTTGTAACTGGTGGGTATTTCAGTTTATCGACGTCATCCGTGACGTTTTCGCATCTTTTGAGAATATTACTATTTGTGTTGTGTGGACAAGAGTCAATCATTAAATATGATGTTCTTTGTTTTCTTTCAAAGTAGTTTGATGAGGCATTAACGATCGTGACATTCTTACAGGTAGGCACTGGAGGAGAGAAGAACACATCGGGACAACAATCACCTCTAATGAAACACTCCTGATCGCAAAAACATGGCGGACAACGTGGGTATAGTGCTGAATCCTTCACCTCCCACGGAAATAGAGTTTTATTTAAGTAACAAAAATGTTCAGTTCCACACAGCGTTAAAATTTGCTCAAGTAACTTAGGGACTTCTATATTCTCCGTCCTCATGAATGGTTGAAAAACTACATATAGAAATATAATGTAGAAGATAAACCCCTGCATCATTGGTAGTTTTTTTTTTTTTTTTACGTCGGCAACTTTTGATTTATAACGCCTCTACTGGTGAAGAGATTATACTGGATATAATTCATGACAATATTGTAAATTGTGAGTATCTCATCAAGTATTTATCCATAAATCTCTTCCAATCAATAGGTTATAAATGTTTGAATAGTATCTGGCTTAGTATTTAATCATCATTTAATCATGATGTGAACAGACTTCTATTAAACAATGCAGGTCTAAGCTACTAGCAACCTGTGCTGGATTTTTTCCTGATGAAAGTTTTACATTCAAGAATAAAAACTAGTATATTTCTATCAGTTATTCAATTTTCCTTACTTTTATCACTTTGAACTAAAGGATTTCTGCGAAGAGGTCGTTTTGTTCATTTTCCAATAAATTTGATATCAACTTGAGTTATAGAATTACTTTTTTACTGTACGCATCATTATGATGTTCCTTCAGTATTTAAATCAATACAAATAAATAACAAGTTAAATTGATACAAAGCATCAAATCGGCCGCAAAAATATATTTATCATTTTGAAGTATTTCCAATAGAAAGAGTAAAAAATCCAAGTAGAAAAAAATATATATTTGCTACATTTTTACAATTGCTTTACTTTTCTGTGCAAATTTTCCTTTTACACTTAATAATTTTCAGTGATCGATTGTTATATAACTATCCAAAGATATGAAAATCGGACTGAAATAAAGGATAGGAATGTATTGTCATGAAATTATTTGATTGAAGTACAATGCGACAAATATCTAAAGAACTACCACGCTAATTATGAATACATGTCTGAATGCTGACAAAAAGGACGTACCAACTTCACGTGCATGCTGATACCCTGGATCTTTGTTACTTCGACTGTTTTCCTCGACTGTCGGTCCAGGAACTGTTAAAATAGACTGCTAAAAAAGACTGTTGCCCGCTGACGTCAAATGACGCTAAACTGGGTTATTTTTTCTTCATTCGGCTTCATTCGCGGCCTACGGCCTTGGGCAACAGCTTGCACTCCGGTCCAACAGATCGACTGTTTCCCTCTACCCCAGTCAACAACTGTATATGTAAAGTGCAGGAAAAAAATCATTGTGTCACTTGCAACTGCAGTGTATTCAAAATAAAATTCAGTTCTTATTCCAATTTATTTTAGGCACTGTAATTTATATCCGGAACTCAAAACGTTTTGTTTTTAGATCTTAAGCACGCCTATATTGGGAACCAGTTCGTGAAACAACTTTCTGTAAATTCATCAAATTAATAAGTATCTGACGAGAAATGAAAAACAAACTGAAACATATAACAACAATTACTTAGACTTAGTATTAAGCTTAATTATGTTATCAATAAGAATTTATTCCATCGAAGCAATGACAAAAAACGTCTCTTTTCCCATGTGCACATTGTAACACAACCACAAATAGATCGACCACTACTGTGGCCGATAAGGAAAATGACAATATTATAAACTAACACTCTTCCAAAAGAATTATTTTATTATTTTATGATTTAAATTCGGCTTCTTTTCCTCGTATGACTTTAAAGAAATATTTCAATCAAGTGCTCCTATTGAAAAAAAATACAACCAAAAAAAAAAACTGGTTTCAGTTGAAAAAAGAAAAATGTTCATGTTGTGTTCATATATAACAAAATTATATTAAATTAAGTACAAATTGAAAGCAAAACTAAAGTAAAAAAAAGTTCAAAAGTCATGGAAGAACAAAACAAATGAAAACAAAAACATCTAGCACTACCACTACGCTACTAAAACTTATTTATTTAAACTTTATTATTTTGAATTCTGAAGTTAAAAACTAATAAATATGAAATGAATCCGGACCACCGCGAGGCACATCCAATCAGTTATAATAGTAAAATCGATAAAAATTCATCAACTGACAATGATTGGTGATCCCTGGGCTTACAGTTTGTAAGCTACCGACCAGACACGATTTGTAATTCATTATTCACCATAAA